TCCAAGTTCATGTCCATGTCTGAGGTGGGCTCAGCAGTGCTGTAGCTGTGGAACGATGCAGCACTTGGCTGGGTACTGATGCTGGCTGTGTCATGGGGTGACGCTGGTGGGCCTGTCCCCAAAGAGATGTCACTGCTGTGATGGGTACTTGTTGTGGCACCCGCCCTTGTGTTCTCAACCAGGGTTGAGCCCAGAGCTGCTTGTGTGGTGCTGCCATCTCCTGCCAACTGGAATGTGCCCTGGTCTCCCTCTGCAGCTGCATTTTTGGGGGTTGGCAGTGCCACAGGTTGGGGTGACTTGATGGTGGCTGTGCTGACAAGGGGTCTGGCCTTGGTCAGTGCTGGGCTGGAGTTAGTCACAGCCAGTGGGGCTGAGCGACTGCTCTTTGGAGTTGTAAGAGTCAGATCCACTGGGGGCCTCGTTTCAGAAGCATCATTCCCTTGGGCAGGTGGCTCTGGCGATGGCCTGGCAGTGATGGTCGCGTGTCTGGCAGTCAGCCCTGCTGCACTGGCATCTGGGTTCTCCTCCGTGCCCACCTCCAGGAACCCCATCCCCATTGCTTGCCCTGTGGTGCTGCCATCGAGGTGGGGGTCACCTGAAGTTCCCATTGCTAGTGGTGTGGTATCCAGGGACAACGGGGATGTGACTGCTGCCATCTCTTGGGGGATGCCAGATGGGGGCACCCCCAGAGCCATTCCTACATTGACACTGCTTTCCATTAGATGGGGGACATCTGCTTGCGGTGCCATGGGGATGGTGACTGCTTTGAGTACCCCTGGGATACCTGGTACAGCCGTGCCCGTGCCCGGTGCAGTGCTTGGTGACCACGTCTCTGTCCCTGGAGGTTCCTCACGTTGTATCCCAGCCCAGAGCGGTGGGGCTGGTGCAGGTCCAGGTGTGACAACAGTTCCTGGGGCTTCTGAGCCTCCTGTGGGACCAGGCTGGCTGTGGCTGGGGGATGCATCAGGCACAGGCAGGGTGGCTCTGGTGTCCCCCAGCTTAGTGGCACTGCCACTGGCCAACGATGCTGTTCCCATCCCTGCTTCATGAATTGGAGTGCTGCTAACAAGGGAGGATGGATGGGCAGCTGGCACTGTCCCAGTGCCATACGCAGCAGTGGAAGATGTTGGTGCAGCTCGAGGGGCCCTCTCTGGCTTTTCTCCACCGGCGTCCGTGAAGGACAAGGGCACGGCCATGCTGGGTCTGGTTGGAGGGGTTCTGGCTGCTGAGGGGGTCTGGGGGAACAGAGAGCCTGTGGAGTGCAGAAAGGGCCTTGGAGAGGGATCACCAGGGTCATCGAGAGCTGCATTGGAGGACAGGCTCATTCTAAGCCCCCCTGGGGTGGCCTTGGTCTCTGGGAACGCAGTCCCTGCTGTGGCTTTGGTGCTGTCCTCATTCCTAATGGACACCAGCTCAGCACTGGTACTTCTGAGAGCTGGGAATGATACAGTGGGGATATGCTCTTCAGCTACGACATTCACTACCATAGCCAGTGTGCCTGGAGCTAGTGCAGTGGTCTGGAGGTGGGTGACAGCATTGGCTCCAGGCAGCCCATCTCCAGCAGTTTCTGGAGCAGTGCTGTGGCTGGGGGGAAGCATCTCTCCTGTGCCTGGCACAGCATCACCAGGGAGTTGGGGCAAAAGGGCTGGAGGCAGCTGAGCAGGAGGCACACTGGGGTCCTGTGAGGCACTGTGGACAGTGTCAGACAAGGCACGTGTCCCTGGCTCTGCAGCCTCGCCAATGCCAATGGCAGCAGAAGAAAAGGTGACCTTTGCCAAGGATGCGCTTGGGGGGTCTGCAGATGGTGGGGATGCCATCCTGGCTCCTTCTGTGGCTTTGCTGGGGTGCACCCAGGGGAGGCCAGTGACAGGGTTGGCTGAGGCTGCTGCTGTCTTCATGGGGCTGCCCCTGTCCTGAGAGATGCCGGCTGCTGTGTCTGAAGGTGAGGTGGCCTCGTCCAGCCCCAGCATGGCCTCCTGGGACAGGAGTGAGGCAGTGCTGTGTGGCTCAGCAGAACTCTTGCTGATGCTGGGATGTGATGTCCCTGTGCTGTGCTCGTCCTGGGGGAGCAATGGCACTGTAGTCTGTGCAGTCCCTGGCATCCTCTCGGCAGGGACAGCACCCACGGCAAGACCCACCGTGTGCCCCGTAGGCACGAAGGACAGAGGCTGCTTGTGCCAAGTGGTGGTGGGAGCTGGAGGGGTGCTGCTTGGGTGACTGGCAGCACCCGGAGAAGAGACCCCAGCCCCCGACCCTGCCTGGAGGCTGTCTCGCACTGCTGGACCCCCGGGGAGAGCTGCTGGGCTGGGAGGCCCTTCCTGCTCACCACTGCTCCCAGCTGGGACCAGCCCTCTTGTTGTCACCTGTGGCACCAGGATGCCTGTGGAGCGAGACAAGGCAGCCCCAGCTGGATCAATCCCACCGCGGCCCCAAAAGGCAGGAACTTGCCCGCGGCCAGCTGCCTGCCGGCCTTACCTGAGCCCTGGCTGCCTGCGGAGGCGATGGTCCGGCCGGCGGGAGAGGAGTGCTCCGTCCGTGCGGCCACGGTGGTGGGGAATGCCTGGCACATGCCCACGTCCGAAGGCAGCTCAGTGCTGGTACTCTCGGCTGCACGGGATATGCTGCCTGACTCTGTCGGGACCAGCGTGGGGACAAGGGGCTGCTCCTTCATCTCCCCGGCTTGTGCAAAGGTGGGTGAGATCAGGATAAGGAAAAAGCAGCCAGGGGTCCCCATCACCTTCATCCCTCCTCCCTGCTGCGGGGGGAGCACCCATAGCCCAACCAACACCAAGAGCAGTCAGACGCCTTCCCCAAGGGCGAGAGTCCCCCTTTGATCCTCAATTGCCCCCCCACCTTCCCCTGCTGCAGTTGGGAACCACGCCGAGGCTGTGGCACCCGCAGACAGAGACTGGGCAAACCCCAGCCAGGCACTCAGGCTCGAACTTGGGGTATTGGGAACAAGCCGGAGGGTTGTTCGCAGCCCATCACCCAGATGGTATCAGCCACCCATTCAGCTCACTGGCACTTTCAGCGACCCTGGGACTTACCTGGCAGCACCCAGAGCCCCCACAGCACCCAGCTCCAGAGCAGCCACGGACCCCAGGACCCCATGGTGCTTCCTCGGTGTCAGGGACAGGGCTGCAGCTCTCCCTGTTTCAAGGGAGGGACGTAACAGGTGACTCGACCGGTGAGCACTCCCCCGGGTGGGGGGGACGGGGACACCACGTGCCCTGCCTGTGGCACTGACGTCTGTGTGTCCTCGCAGCCTGTGATGAGGTGGCAGCGTCCCATTTCTGGGGACCCACTGATGCTGGGGGACACCCATTTTGCCATGGGATGTTTTAAGGCCCTTCCCAGGCTTACCCCACTGTTGACAGCCCACTGTTGGGGTCCCCAATTCCTGGGGAACAGCCAGTGGGTTTCAAAGTCACTTGGCCCAAAGGCCCTGGGATGGCAAGTGGGGATAGGGGTCCCCAACACCTCTGTGGGGTGGGTCAGTCCTGGGCTCTGTACCCCCATCCACCCTCCTGTTTGCTGCCAGGTCCCTCCACGCTCAGCTGCGTGGCTGATAACCCCTGGCAGGGGTTGGCTCGCCACCAAGGAGGAAGAAGGAAAGAGCAGGCTCCTACTGGCGCCTTGGGGTCCTGCGTATTGACCCTGCCCTGTCCCCCCCTCGGCACTGCCGCCTGGGACCTGCGGGCAGGCCTTATCTGTGCCATCGCAGAAAACGCCCACGCAGCCCGGATGGGGGGGGGGGAGTCCCGCATGGGTGGCGGGGCCAGGCATTGCCACCTGGGTTGCAGGTCACCTTCCACTGGGGACAGAAGCCAGACGGACCCAGCTGTGCAAATGGACTCAGTGAGGCCACTGCAGCAAATGTGTTTGCCCCTTCACAGGATCTCACCCAGTTCCAGGATCACTTAAGGGGGCAGAAACACGTCAGTGACGGTGTTGTGCCTTCCTCGCTTCACTGACAGCCATGCCAGCCGGCTGCCACACCATGGTGGCTGCACCTCATGGGGAAACAGAAGCTCAGAGTCCAAAGCACTGACGCATAACCGTGTCCACAGCAGCACCAGCACACCTGCCTGTGCCCAGCACACCTGCCTGTCCCTGCACTCAGGGAGGGTCAAGGGATCAGAGATGAGGGAGCCGTGGGTGAACAGGACACACAGGGGATGTGGCCAGGTAGCATCTGCCACAGGGAAGGATCCACAGCCATGCCAAAGCAGCCCTTCCTCACCGTATATGGCAGGGTCTCTCTGGAGAGAAGGCACTCTGGGGAGCAGGTATCACCACTGCCCATGGACCTGGTGGGTTTGGGCACCAAGATCCTCCTCCACCTGATCCCCAGATCCCTTCCCGATGCTGCTGCAAGGGGAAACCCAGTAAAGGGGCTCTGATACCCGTTTGGAGGCGGGGCGAGAACTGGCACCTGAGGTGAGACCCCATGGGAGCCACCTCCCCTCCCCCACCAGCTCCTGGCTCTGGCTGCAGTGGTGGCACCTGGTTGCACAACACCCCTCGCGTGGGTGGGGGCGCGACGCCGGTCCCGCCACTCCCTGCCCGGGCATGAGTCAGGCGGCAGCCGGGAGCCGCAGGGCACTAGGCAAGGGGGGCCCTGCTGCAGGGGGCTGCCCTGTACTGGGGCAGCGCTTCAGGCAAGCACTGCCCACTCAGAGTGAGCAAAACAGCGCCCAGGCTTCAGGAGTTGGGCCTTGGGGTGGGACAAACTGACTAACTCCAGCAGCCCCGGATGGGGAGAACCTTGCACCCTAAAACAGCCTGGGAGGCATTAGCGCTGGGTTTTATAGGTGCGCGTCACACAGCTCCCTGGGGATCCCCAGTGTCAGTGCATCCCCTCCTGAGCTCCATCACATGGCAGATCCCAAGGATCACAGTCCCAGCTGCCTGCAGGGAGGAACCAGAACCCATGGAGACATGGCCTGTCCCTGTGTATTGGCAGGGAATAACCTGGGTGACGGTTGCAAGCACCCTCCTCCTCTCCATAGAATACTTTTATATATATACATAATATATATTAAAATTACATTTCTCTTTACAAAAACAATTCAACAAGAGGCCAGGGGACAGAGCCCATTTGCCCAAATCAGGGCATAAGCACCCCAGCAAGTCTGGAGCAGGGTCCCTTTTGGGGTGTCCCCACCCCCAAAGCGGGGGCTCGGTCCAGAGTCCAGCAGCAGGTTGCGTGGGTGGAGGCGGGGACACTGGCCCCGTGGTGAGGTGCCTTCTCTGGATCTGACACCACTCACCCCATCCCCACTGTCACCACCTGTAAGGAGAGGAGAGAACATGAGCTCAGGAGGGGTGATAGTGCCAGCTTGCCCAGAGCAGCATGGCATGGAGAACTACCCCCCCAAAACACTTCCATGACCTTACTTCTGGCGGGCGGCGCTGTAGGGATCAAGGAGGTGGGAGCTGGCCTGCTCCAGGTTCCAGTCAAACATCTCCAGCACCCGCTGGCAGTCGCCACGGGACTTCAGCCCCAGGCAGAAGAGCTGCTCCACCTGCAAGGGAACAGGGCACGGCCAGGGGGGTGACAGGAGTGCCACCACTCTTGTGGGAGCTAGGGTGAGGGAACAGAGGTGTGCCATACCTTCAGATACTGGATGGCCCGTTGGACACTCCAGCCGTGGTTCTGCAGGGCTGCCTGGCACTCGTCGGTTGTCACACCGTGCACCATTTCCTGCACCTGGGGGGAGCTTGTGGTCAGTGTCTGCTGCCACCCCCAGGCAGCATGGAGCCCATGACTGAACCAGTGGGCCACTGGGGCTGCCCCCAGTTCTGGCTCTTTCCCCAGGGAGCACTGTTAGCCTGGAGCTGGCATTATTCTAAACATCATTTGTCTCTCCTGGGCTTGGGTGGGCCTCAATAGCCTCAGCCCAGATAGCCCAAAGGGACCACCTTCTCCCTCCCCAGGCCATTGGGTAGGGCCAAACTGGGTTAAAAGGGCCTTCAATTCCCATTTTAGCATTGCAGTGATATTTATGTCCCCCTGCACATTCGGAGCCCCCTTGTAGCCAATCCCCTGAAGCTGTACTTGGGGAAACTGAGGCACAGGGTGGGGAAAGCTCTTGCCCAAGTGAGCTCATGGCCAGCATGTGCCCTCCTCCCCATGGATACTGGGCATGTCACTCACCAGCCGGATCTTTTCAGCGGGACGGCAAACATCTGGCCCATCGTAGACAATCTTCTGGAGGCTGCAAGAGGCTTTCACCAGGCACTTGGGCCCAGGATTGCTGTTATTGGAAGAAAAGTTGGCCTTGCAGTCTGGCAGTGGCTGCTGCACCATGGGACGGACGGTGGCTGTGGTGACCTGGCGGGATGCTGGTACCTCCTCTGGGCTTTTAGCCTCCTTGAAAAACTTCTCATACTTGTCCAGGTAGGCAGGGCGCTCAGGCAGCAGGTAGTAGTGGGTGCTGCTGACCTTCTGCCCATCCTTCACAATGGGCAGGATGCAGGGTCCCTTGGAGCAGTCCTTGCCCTGTGCCTGAATGACCTTGGGAGTGGCGTACTTGGGGTCGAGGGCAAAGCTCTGCGTGGTAGGCATGGGCTTCCCTGGTGAGGTGGAAAGGCAGGAGCAGAGGGCAGCACGTTGCTGTGGGGAGCCCACCTGCAGAGCCATGGGGCTGGGTGTCCGGGAGGTGGGCTGCGACAGCGGGTCCCGGGGGGGAATCTGGGGTGGTCGGTCTTCCTCACCCCCTGAGGCTGGGGAAAGGTCCCCTGACCAGCGCCCGGGCTCATTGCGGCGAAGGGGCCGGGGTGGGATTGGAACACGGGGTGGGATTTGGGGCTTGTCATCAGCAGGGGCAGCCGGTCCCAAGGGGACATTGAGCCTCTTCATGCACTCCTGCTGCAGCTCCTCAAAGAGCTCGGTGGTCTGTGTCATGCTGGGCTGTTTGGTCTCCTTGGGGGGCAGGAAGAGGTTGTCCTCCAGCACCGGTCCCCGCTCACCCTCATCCACGAAGCCATAGTTGGTCTTGCCCCGGCGGCTCGGGGGGCTGGTGATGGAACACACCTCAAAGTCATCCTCGTCCTGCGCCACGTCATCATAGGCAGGGGGTGGGGGCAAGGGGCGGGCGTCCCAGTCCACCACTGGTGTGGGGTGCAGAGGCCGGGGTAGAGCCCGCGTGGGGCTCTGCGGTGGGGTCTTGTCCAGCAAAGAGAAGGCCTCCATGGCCAGCTTGGCTAATGATGGGGCTGTCAGCTCCCCCACTGGAGAGGGGGTACCTTGGGGCACTTCCTCCCCAAAGTCGATGAGTGTCACCTCGCCGCCCGCCGGCCCCTCGCTTGCCAGCCGTCCGGGTTGCCGCTCGCCCACCTTGGTGCCTGGTACCCGTGCTGACGGCTTGACTGGTCGCAGACCCTTCCCTGTGCCTGTCTTCTTCAGGCAGAGCTTCCGGAGACCCCCTGGCAGACCCTCTTCCTCCTCACTCACTGGGTCGTAGCAAGGCTCTAGGAGGCGACAGAGAAAGATGGTGAGGGTCCCAGCACCCGTCCCTGGGGTGCAAGAAGGGGCATCTGCATCTCCAAACCCCCTAACTGCCCCATAGCTTCAGCCACCTTTGCTCACCCCTTGGGTGCAGCAGACACACCAGGGCAGGGGGCATATGCCCCAGGCCACCCAGACAAAGAGAGAAAAGAAAGGGGGCATGAAGGAGGGAGAGCAGCACCCAAAGAAGCCAAACTTACTGGTTAGCAGGACGGTAGGCTGAGGCGGGCGTGGAGGTGGTTGCCCTGCAGGAGAAGAGAGAACCCAAGAGAAGGAGAGGCGTGGGGTGAGCGTGTGGAGCAAGCGGCAGCCAAGGTGCTTGTTAGCAGGGTGCATGCTTTGGTCAGCCCCCCATCACTGGTGGGGCCTAGAGAGGATGCTGGTGGGAAGCCACCCCACAAGGGAAGATTGTAGGTTTAGGGGAATCGTGGCATACGCACAGCGCCTGAGCTCCCTCCCCGTGGCAGCTCCGCTGAGATCCCCATACTGGGGAGACCAGCCGTGGGAGGCTGGGAGGGGACAAGGGACTCGGACGAAGGGCAGCAGGGCAGAGTCCAGCCGGGCAGAGCCACCAGCCGCCCACGCTGTTGGCAGTGGCATATGGCCAGGTGACAACACGCCCCATCACCCCAGCTCCCCCCAGGTCTGCAAAAAGCAAGTGCCAGCTGAGAGACAGAAAGGAGAGGGTCCCGCCCGTCACCCTGGCCAACAGGGCATGGGGAAAAGGGCTTCGTGCAGCTGATGGGCAGGAGGAAGGAAAAAAGACGCTCACTTTTAGTCCTGCCTGGAAGCTGTGTGGGTCTGGCAGTGCTCGGGTCCACACCTAAAATGTCAGGAGGGTCCATGGGATTTCCCAGGTACAGCCTGTGGGGAGAGAGGAAAGTGCCTGGGAGTCAGCAGGGGCCATGCAGGACCCCTTGCTCCCCAGGCTTGTGCCTTGGGACACCCCACAGCTCCTCCACCACACACTCTGCTCCAGCGAGAACCGTCCCTGTGAATGCTGGGACACCACACCCCAGAGGCTTTTGCTGCTACGGCACAGAGCCTGGTGCTGTCCCTGTGTCACCCACCCCTCTCTGGCTCCGTGTGCATGACGTGCTGTGTCCAGGGGACTGCAAGCAGGGCTCCGTGTCCAGGGTACGTGTGTGAGGTGTGGTGCCCAGGACACCCCTCCAACAGCAGGGTGCTGTGGTGCGATGCTGCGCCCAAGGCACAGTGCCCCGGTACTGCCGGGGGGGTGCCGGGAGGCCTGGGCGAGCCATCGCAAGCCAGGGAGCTGGCGGGAGCTGGAGCAGCCCGAAGGTTTGGGTGTGTGCCGAGCTCGGTGCGTTCTCGGCAGCCCGGGCAGCACGTACCCAGCGCCCGTGCCCACGCAGCGGGGTGCGGGGAGGCCTGCCGGGGCACGAGCCAGATCCGCGTGCACGGTGCCTCCGTTCAGCCCTCCGAGGGCCGCCGGCACAGCCCTGGACACTAGGGTGCTGTGGAGGGGTCAGGCTGGGACTGAGGGCACCTGCAGGGCCGTCCCAGGCTTGGGATGCCAAACAACAGTGGGGATCATGATTCCAGGAGATGGAGTGAGCCTGGTGCAGGAGCTGGCCCTACCCAGCGGGAGCTTTCCAGGCTTTGAAATCCTATCCCGCCCCCCACACGCAGCCCTCCCACGTCCCTCCAGCCCAGTGCTGGCAGAGAACCCCCCATGCCCCCTGCCAAGATGCTCCTGCTCACCCAGCACCCACGCTGGGCACAACAAGTCCTACCTGGCAGGGGGGCATGTGGGACACTGGATCACAAGCACCCAATCCCCCTCCCCCCCATCACAGTTCAGCCAGGGTGTCTCCTGATGGAGCAGGGTGGGGAAAAAAATCATTTTGGTGGATTTTTTTCACAGTTTGCTCTTTGAAAAGACTCATGCTGTTAGAAGCGTGAGGACAGGCTGCAAGCCACGCACATCCATCAGCCCTGGGACACCCAAAAACATTGGGGTAATGTGGCCACCTCCATGGTGGTGCTTACATGGGTCTCCCCCCAAGGACAGCCCCCCATAAGCACAGCAGCCCCCCACCTCCCAAACCCCATTAGTAAGAAGAGGCAAAGGAGTTAGTTCAGCTGCAGGGACCCTACCCAGAGCCACCATTCCCAATACAGCAGTGGGGAACAAAATGCTTCATGGGGAAAGAGGGGGGCAATAGCCAAGCCGCGGCTTGCTCCCATGCCCAGTGGGCAGTGGGGAAGGCAGGGAGCAGGCAGAGGATGCAGAGAAGACAAAAAGTTTCTTACTCATCAATTTTATCGGGAAACCCCCAGCAGTGCTGCGGGTTGGTGTCTCCATGGCCTGTGTGGATGAAGCTGTTTTTAAGCGGCTGGCTGATGTCGTGGGCTGACAGCCCTGCCACCGAGGTCACCGTGTTTCGGGGAAATTGGCCCACTTTTAGGGTCCGTTTATTCTGACCCCGCCACCAGTAATTCTCGGCCCTAAGGAATAAAAAGGACCTTGTTACTGATGAGGGGACGGTAGGGTGACACGTGCCTGCCCCAGTGACAGGGAAGAGGCAAGGTGACTCGTCCAAGTCCACGCAGGCACGCGGTGACACAACTGGGAAGAGAACCTGGGTGCCCAGCATCCCAACCCTACACTGGCAGTATGCTCTAAATCCCACCCCACATGGTCCCTGCACCCGGTGGTGCTGAGAATGCAGGTGGTGGGGAACAAAGCTCCACACTTGTGCTCAAGATGTGCTCCTTCCTCCTCCTTGCTGCCTCAAATTGTGCAGGAGCCTTGGAGTGATGCCCGCACCAAGCTGCTCATCACAGTGCCCCATGCAGTCACGGACAGCACATGGGACACGCCTGGGGTCTGATGGGGCCCACATGGGGGACAGTGGGCTGTGGGGTCTTCCTCGCTCCCTTCCTACATTATTAGTGAGCCCTGCTGTGGGCAGGGGGAGATAGGCAGACAGACAGGTGGGGGCTCAGGCTGTGAATCTTCCTGGAGCCACCTGAGTGGGCCAGATCACCCTGGGGTGTTGGTCCCCAGTGTGTCCCCCAGGAGTCTCCTACTCCAGGACACAGCCACCTCTGGGTGGGACAAAGTGCTTATGTAGCCCAGAGAGACTGGGGACCACAGGGATGGGGCAAGGAAAGGCACCCCAACTGGTGTCCCCCACCCAGCACTGTGCCAAATTAATGTGGGAGGGGTCCAACCCTAAACCACCCCCCTGCCTGCCAGGGGCCCCTCTCCCCGTGGGCAGGGCATGCTGGAGGCTGGGGGCAGTGGCAGTGTGGGTGCCAGCCTGGAGAGGCTGGCACGGGCCCCACAGTTTCCTGGAGTCACCTGTGAGTCACCCCCGGCCACCAGCTCAGCCCTTTTCCTGTTTACCTTCCCGCTGCCGCCAGCCAGCCGCCTTACTCAGCGTTAGGACCCCTTGGCAGAGCCACGGCAGAGCCCAGCCGGTACCGGGCACCCTCCTTCACCCCCGGCGGGCCGGGGGAGGCGGAGGAACGGCTCCCCTCCCCGGGAGGTCCCCTCCACTCGCCCTCCCTGCGCCCCTCACCGCTGCATCCCGCCGAAGGGATGCTGCAGCCGGGTCAACCCTCCGCTCCCCCTGCTTTCAGCTTCGTCCCACCGAACCCGAGCTCGGACCCCAGGCACAAACCCGCTCCGGCGCTGCCCTGGTTCCTCTCCCCGCGACAGCCCCCTCCCGCGGCCGGCTGGGTCCCCGGGGGGCTTTCAGGGAGGTCCCTGCCCCTGCCCACACACACGTACGCACACCCGGCGCCCGCCGAACGACAGGCAGGGGCTTGAAAAGAGGTGGGGGGTGTTTACGGTGCCCCGGGCGGCCACGGCGGGGCCGGATGCGGCCCCCGGGAGGAGCCCCCCCGCCCCAGTCCTGCCCGGGCATCCCTGCCGGCATCACGGTGGGGGGGCAGCCCCCGCGGGGGAAACTGAGGCACGGGGAGGGGGCTCCCCTCCGGGAGCAGCGGCAGCCGCTGGGGCTCCTGCCACTCCCCGGCTGCCCTCACCCCGCACCCCAAAACCTGCCCAACGGGGGTCATCGAGGGCTGGCCTCCCCCGGAGAAACTGAGGCAGGGGACATGGCGCCCCGGCTCTGCCGCACTCCTGGCACCCCCCGACCCACGGGCAACCCCCAGCCCCCTCTCCGCTCCATCACCCCCTTCGCGGCTCACCTGGGGCCGGCGGCGGGGCGGGGGGCTCGGGACCCGCAGCCCGGCCGCGATGCGGCAGCGGGGACGATGTAGGCGCTCTGGCGCGGCCGCACCGCCCTCCGCCGCTCCTTCCCTCCCTCCTTTCCTCCCTCCGCCGACGCCGCTTCCCCTCCCCTCCCCTCCCTGCAATTAAACCGCCAGACCCTGGGCAAGAGTCATCCCCGCGGCGGCGGACCGGGAGCAGCCGGTCCCTGCAGACACACAAACCCGGCCTGATTCACCCCGAGCCGTGACTAACCGCGGGGAGCCGTCCCGGGGCGGGGGACAGGGAGGGACGGGGACAGAGCCCTCCTCCTCCTCCCCTCGGGGCTGTGGGGCCGGCGTCAGCGTGGGGACACTGCGCTCCTTTGGGGGATCCCCACTGTCCTCCAGCTGGAAGGGGACAGGCACATCCCGGAACGGGGATGCGGGGCCGGAAGGCCCCCCCACTCCAGTCCGCAGGTCCCAGCACAGTGGGTACTGCCAGCATGGTACCAAGCCCACGGTGCTTCTCCCAGCCCGATGACAGCGGCAAGTCTCCGGGTGCTGGCAGCATGTCTCCACCGCTAACAGCAGGGAGCGGCCCTGGGGCGTGCGGTTTCCCAGGGCAAAGCCATGGGCACAGTCTGGTGAGTCAGCGGGGACGGTGCAGGCAGGGCTGTGGGCACTGTGGGCAGGGCTGTGCCCCCACGGTGCTGTGCTGCCTGGGGGACCACAGACCCCCAGGCAGCTCTGCCTGCCCATGGGGTACACAGTCAGTTGTGCCAGCAGGAGATCCAGCCCTTCCCATCTCTGTTCCCCACAGCTCTGCCAGTGCCCACACTCTCCCCACTCCTGGGGTGCCCTGTGCCCACCAAGGCCGGCTGCCAGTGTGTTCTCTCCCCTGCAACCCTCCCGTGCAGTACCTGCCCTCGATGACCGTGATGATGTCATTCATCTGGATGTGCAGCTTGTCAGGCTCCTCAAAGTCCTGCAGTGCCCTCATGTCAGTGGGCTGGGCCTGGGGGTAGAGGTGGGTAAGGATAGGGGATGCAGCCCCCCATGTCCATCCCTGCCCTGCTTAGAGGCAGGACACGGGGTCCCAAAAATGAATCACCACTAGCCTGTCCTCAGCTGTCACATCCCTGGGGTGGGTCAGGGCAAGGTAGCACCCAGGTTTCTCCTGCTGTGACCATGTCACCACCTGCCACTTCTGCCTGGCCTGAGCTCCCCCATGTCAACTCCCGCCTCAGCGACATCCTTAACTCTACTCATGCTCGAGCAGAGCCAGTGGACGGGGTGCCAGGGCTCCTGTCCCCCTCCCTGCTCACCCACCTCCACCAAGAAGTCCCGCAGGGCCACAAAGGTGGGTCGGTCCTCGGGCTTATGTGCCCAGCACTGCAGCATGACGTTGTAGATGTCCTGGGGACAGTCCTCAGGCCGTGGCAGCCGCTCACCCTCCTTGTCTATCTTGTGCAGGATCTGGGGGGCAAGGGGTGCTGTCAGGGACTCCCAGGTCCCCTCAGCACCAGTGGGGTGAGGCAAGGGGGCAGATCCCTGCTGAACACCTACCTGGCTGCCGTTGAGGCCTATCCAAGGCTCCTGACCATAAGTGAACATCTCCCAGAGGGTCACTCCGAACATCCAGGTGTCGCTGGCATGGGAGAAGGTGCGTGTCTTCAGGCTTTCAGGAGCACACCTACATGGGGAAGGACGTGAACATCAGGTTGTCTGTGCTGCACCCCCCAGTCTCCCCCTCCTCAAGGCTCACCAGGCGAAGGGGACCTTGCGGTGCTCCTGCATCACATAGTGGTCATCATTTTTTGGCAGGGCTCGCATCAGCCCAAAGTCCCCAATCTTGACGAGGTCATTGGAAGCCAGCAGGATGTTGCGGGCGGCCAGGTCACGGTGGATGAAGCGCTTGGACTCCAGGTAGGCCATGCCCTTGGCCACCTGGATGGCATACTGGCAGAGAGTGGAGATGAGGAAATGGCCCTGGTTTTTCCGCAGTCGGTCCAGGAGGGAGCCCAGCGGGGCCAGCTCTGTCACCTGGGCCATAAGGAGAGGACAGCAAACCAATCAGTCCAGGGGCACCCTGGCTGGGCTGGCTTCCAGCCTCCTTGTACTCCACTGGGGATGCCAGCAGAGGACCTGGGGTACAGACACAGCCTGGCTTTGCTCATGCCATCATGTGGGACCCACATGGGGTGGCACCAGTGTTGGCCCTGTCCCCCCACACTCACCATCTTCATGGGGTGGGAGAGCACCACACCATACAGGCGGATGAGGTTCCTGTGGTCCAGGGAGTGCATGGCATTCACCTCCCGGATGAAGTCATCCAGTGCCTCCGGCTGGCTCAGCACATCTGTCTTGAGGCACTTCACTGCCACGTTCAGCTACGGCCAAAGCAGGAGTGAGCCCTGAAGTGTCTTCCCCTGTAGGCAGTCCCACTGCCCAGCTCTCCACCCCCCTCATGAGCAGTCTCTCACCGTCTTGCCAGCAGGTGTGCACCACTCTCCACGACGCACGACGCCAAAGGAGCCGTCACCCAGCTTCTCAAAGATCGAGAGGTCCCGCTCCCGCACAAGGCAGGTGAGGGAGTGTTGGCCCCCAGCCTCGGGGGGTGGTGGTGTGGGGGGCTTGCGGAAAGTACTCTGGGGCTGGGGTGGCAGCTCCGACTCTGGGCGCTTCCCACTGAACACCTGTGGGACATGGAGGCAGGTGAGACATGGATGTGAAGATACCTGAAACCTTTGGGTCTGCAAGTGAGTAGTGCTGGGACAACCCCTTGTCTGGGTTGTACACTCTAGAACCCACTGATGACCCCTAACTGGTGATGAGCCAGGGCAGTCTGGTTGTGAGATCAAGCTCTGTTCCTCCAGCAGCCTGCACACCGGGCTGCGATTCCTGTGGAGGGAAGGGGTTGTGCCTCTCACAGCAGCCCTGCAGCGACTCCCCAGCAGCCACAGTAAACCAGGCCAGTAGCCAGAGAGGGCCCTGGGCACTCCTTGGCCAGGCTATGGCCACACAATGTGCCTGGGCACAAAGCCAAGGGAAACCTCCAGCTTGGGCCGAGTGTGGTGACACATCCCTGCAAAGACATGGGCTTTGCATTTGTGCTGCCTGCCACCACCACCACCCAGACGGATGGGCTCTCCTTCCCTCTCCTTCAGCTGGGACTGATGATGTGCCCCACTGGACGGGGTCCATCCCAGTCTCAGCAGCCAGGACCCCTGCAGGGTGCGTGGGGGCTGGACCCAACATGTGGTCGGGGTGGGAGGTGGCATTCTTGCCATTTCTTCTTTAATAGAAGTAGCCTTCTATTAAAAGCCCATCCTGACCATGTCCCAGCACAGATGAGTCACACGGGGAGAGGCCATGACCCAGTGCCCAGCTCATAAGTGCTCTGCTCTTCTGGGGGTGCCAGCAGCACCAGCTTTGGATGGGATGGCATATGGAATATGTGACCATTCCAAGGTCCCCTGTCCTGGTATGCCCCAGCCTGCAGGTACAAGGCTGTGCCTCCTCGCTGTGAGGCAGCAGGGCAGGCAGAGTCCCAGGCAGTGCTGCTGCCCACAGAGCTGGCTGAAGCAAGATGCACAGGCTCTGTGGTTCACTAGCTGCAAACAATTTTCCTGGCAAAGAGGCAAATAATGAAGGGAATGAATTTTCCAAGTGCCGGGGCGGCAGGGCTGTCCTTTCCTGGGAAGTGACCCAGGAGCCTGCATGGGACCAGGGCACACACTGGCAGTATCACACCACAGGCAGGACTCCCCCAGGAACCAGTGGCATAGGCAGAGCCAGGCACCTGGGAAGAGTACGGGGAGAGGTCTAGCTTCTCCCATTTGCCCCAGTTTCTCTGTCACACCTGTCCCGCTCTCATCCCTACCTTGCTCATCCAGGATTTCCGCTTGCACATGGCTTTCCTCCGCTTCACTGCCTCCCACAGCCGCCGCTGGCCTACAGGATTCAGGGACACAGTGACTGTCACAACCCAGTCCAGGGTAGAGGTCCTCTCTAGCCCCATGGACCACATGCTCCTCTGGGCTTCCCAAAAGATGCTGTGCATCCAGGTGGGGATAAGGGGGAGGTCTGGGGGGGTGTACACACCAGGGCGTCCCATGCCGATCTTCTCCAGATCCTCATTTTTGACGTACTCGAAGTGGGAGAGGCGTGTGACATTGAGCTCGTCCCGGATGCGCAGGAAGTACTGCTGCAGCTGAAGCTCAGTGAGCAGCTCCAGCAGCCAGTCCGTGCCCTCCTCCGCCTGCATGCTACAGCTCAGCCTCTGCCGGGACACAATGCCGGGTTAGGGGGAACTGTGCTCCGCTCCTCTCTGCCCCATCCCCGCTGGGGAGTCACCCAGAGGGGCTCAGAACCATGGCTGGGGTGCTGCTGTGAGGGACACTAGCAGACTAATCTCCTGAGCCTGTCCCCAGCTCTCTGGGGGAGGCCAGGAGAGGCACCGCATCAGCAGGACACCCAGGGACAGGCAGGACAGACTGGCTCTGCCCTGTCATGCCCATAGAAACACCAGCCCACCCCTCTGCTCCAGCACAGGCTATCTCCTGGAGGGGTCAGAGCTTCAGGATGCATGTGCCTGCCTGGATCCCTCTGCTCAGCTGGAGGGAACAGCTGTCCCAGCCACCCGGCCAGGCTGCAGGACAGACCCATGGTAGGTTTCCTCTGCCTTGGCTGGGCAGACCAAAGGAGGGGGCAGACAGGGACATCAGGGTCACTAGGGGGTCCTGTTGCCCCAGGACTGAGGTACAGGGCACCTCAGCGCTGCCAGCATCACCCCCCCAGCTGTGTCGGGACAAAGGGAGGGAGGGACAGGGCCAGGTCTCACACACAATTCTCCATACCCCCCACCACTCCCCATCCATGCCTGCTGTCCCAGCTCTCCCCCACTTTCATCGCCACCTTTTTGGAAAGGGACACAGCTCTGTCTCCCACTGTTTAGAGCGGGAGGGAAGTTGGGACCCGCCGTCCTGGCTCCACAACACATCAGCCCCCTCCATCCTCTCCTCTTCCCCGGGAGATGACATGGCTCCTGGCGTCTTCACCCGCTGTGCTCGGCTCCCTCGGCCGCGTCACCGCAATTACAACCCTCGGCACTGGGCTAAAAATACGGCGGGCGCGGCGAGCAGCTGGGCACGGGGGCACATGGGGGCAGGCGGGGACACACAGGGCCAAGGGAGCTGCCAGCTCCCCTGCCCGCAGGCGATGGGGAGAGAGCCGGGCGACGGGTTTGCCCGGGGCGAGGGTCGGCACTTACTCGGTAGAGGCGGAAGCGGGTGAGGAAAGGGAAAGATCGGTGCAAAGCCTGGAAGCGCCGCATCCTGCCTGGCTGCCCGCCGCCGGCCCCTGGCACCGCTGATGTCCCTTCCCCGGTGCCGGCGTCCCACGGCGGAGCCCGCTCACTGCAGCCAGGGCACCCGCAGCCCCTTCGCCTGGGCTACAGAGAAGCCCCCCGGGCTCGGCCGCCCCATATATCCCCCCGGAGCGGGCAGGGGGCTCGGGCTGTCCGTCGGCCGGACGCGGGCTGTGGCTCTGCCCCTCCTTCCATCCGGATCTCGATCCTCTGGCCGGCCGGCCCTCCCCTTCCCCAACGCAACGGGGCCGGGGCGGGGGGGTGGCGGCAGGCAGGGCTGGGGGTCACTCCCCCGGCCGGAGCCGCTTCCTGGGGACCCCCGCTGGCAGCGGGGCTCGGTCCCGGCTGGCTGCCCGCAGCGCTCCCCAGGAGGGTTATTTTCAGCCGGGCTGGGACGCGCGCCCAAGGGGCCGGGCTCCCATCAATGTGCGGCTTTCTCCCTTGTTCGGCGGTCGCCGGCAGCTGGGAGCTTGGACCCCCGCTCCCATTACCATGGAAACTCGCCCCGGCCTTGGGAAACGCTCCCAGGCCTCAGTTTCCCCCCCAGGAAGCAGGGAGGGAGGGAGACAGAGGAGACATCCGGCTCTCTGCTCCCCAACCGAGGCCACAGGCATGATGCCAGGGCGATGGGCACTGCGGGGGGAGTTTCTGGCTCGGCAAACATATCCGCTGCCCAGCTGCCAGGCCCCACGGGGCTCTGCCGTGGGGTGCCACCAGCACCCTGCACCTCGCTCCCCTTCCCCAGTAGGGCTGGCACCCAACCCCAGCAGTGCTGTCCGCCCGCAGGGTCCCCAGGGAGAACAGCTGGCCGTGCCGGCAGCCATAGCATGAGAAAGGAAAGACCCACAGAAACCTCTTACCACAGCCCCCGCCTGCCTGGCCCCCCCCAAAATGTGGCCATTGCTGTGCCAGGCAGGCAGCTAAGAAGGAGTTAAGTGCATCTCCAGGAGAAGAGGAGTCTCCACTGTGGCTTCCACTGACACTGGGATCCCAGCTGGCACCCGGCAGCACAGGCACTGGGCACAACAAGCCCATTGACCAGGGACAACTGGGCATAGTGCCCTCAGCACCAACCTCTGCCACGCGCCAGCTTCCCCCTTCCCAGCTCAGGGGACATGGGGGCGGGGGGTGCCCTGCCCTGAACGGAGCATCACTCTCATCAGGCAGGAATGACACCCACTGGGACTGGCACCCAGTGTGCTGCCTCCTGCACCTCTAAATCCCAGGTAAGACTGTCCAGTTCAGCATCCACACTGGGAATGGGGGAACCCAGCCTTACCCACCATGCCAGGGGTGGTTCCGTGCCTCAGTTTCCCTCTCTGCAACAGACCCACAGGCACAGTGGTTGGGTTGATCCTGCAACCTTGGCTCTGAGTGGGGCAAGGAGTCCTGCCAGCAAACTCCCATCCTGAAGTGTGGGAGCCACAGATACTCATCCAGCCCCCACCAGGTCCCCGGCACAGGTGCTGCTCGGCCCTTGGTGCCCTGCACACACTCGCCATGCCGCACACACCCAGCCCTGCAGCGCCAGGGGATGCACCCTACGTGCACCCAGTCTCATGCATGGGCGGTGAGGACGCTCACATGCACTCAGGGACCACACAGGCGCAACCCCCCGCACCCTGCGGTGCCTCCTGCCACCTGCACAACCGCAGCCGCCCCCCACGCACGTCACCTCCGCGCACCCCCCAGCTACCGCCGCCCTGCCCGGCCGCACGTGCGCACACACCCGCACAGCCCGCGGCATCACCGGGCCTGCTCCCCGCCTCCGCCCCGCACACACCTGGAGCCGCCCGCCCCCCTCGCACCCACGGCTGCCCACCCCCGCTGTGCCATGTTCCTCACCTCCGCGCTTGCCTGGCATCACACACAACCTGTCCGAGCTGGCACAAGGGTGCTCAATCCTCCCACCCCCCACTCCGGGCCTGCACCAATTACTGCTACCAATAACGACACCCCAACACCTGTCCCACACACCAAGGCACCTGCACCTTCGCATTCCCCACACCCATGCACAGCCCGACATCGCCACAAGGATATCCCCACATGGGGATGGCAGCTGGTGCGGCCACCGTCTGGATGCAGCTCTGCGGCTGGGGGGTGGCATCCTGTGCTGGCCCCCCCCCACGAGCTGTGCCAAGCTCGGCCGAGCCGCGCTGCCACACACCCTTCCCCCATGCCTCAGTTTCCCCAGCAAGAAGCAGCAGGCAGCCCCACTCCCCTGGAGTGGATGGGTCAGGATGGGAGCACAGCCGAGCGGGGGGGAGGTGCCATCCTCACACTGCGCTGGACGCTGCGGGGTACTGCGCATTCGAGAGGGGAGACGCCATGCAGGGACCCCCCGTGCCCCATGCTACAGCAGGACCCTGCCTGTTCTGGGGAACAGCCACGTGCCCCGCGCTGCTCCCCTCCAGCGGCTCCCCCCACACTGACCCGCCGGCACGGCATGGCCGGGGCGATGTCCTGTCGGGGGGGTGGCGTGGGGCGCCTGCTGCCCAGGCGCAGGGCCCGCTGCCCGGTGCTGTCCGAGAAGCTGTGGGGCAGGGGGCCGAGCATCTCCTCCTCCTCCTCGGCGCTGCTCAAGCGCTGGTAGTCGCATCTCTCGCCCATGGCTGAGGCAGCGGCTGCGGCGCAGCGGCGAGTGGGGGGCTCTGCGGAGACGCCCGCGTCTGCCTGGGGGCGGCGAGGGCTGGAGCCGGGCTTGGGATCACATGGCAGAAAGTTGCTGCAGTTCCGGAAAACAGCGAGAGGGTGAAGGTGACCGCAACGGTGATGGAGGGGAGGGGGGATGGATGGAGGGATGCGGAGGAGACGGGGAAAAGAGAAGCAGGGGCAGCCCCTTGACCGCCCGTCCTCACCCCGATCCCAGCCTGGCACCACTGTCTTCCTCCCGGCTCGGCAGCCCAACTGCCCACCTTCTGTCCCTGCTCCGGCTTCTGAGTGGAGAGGTGGTGGCATCGCCGCCAGCCCCAGCGTCGCGATCGCAGCCCCCTTCTCCCCGCACCCTGGCACGGTGCACCAGGCAGCCGGGCGGAGGAGGAGGACGAGGGGGGACCATCGTCCAGCAGCCGGGGTTCTGTGGCAGACAGGATGGGTAGGGAGGCACCTGCAGAGGGATGGGGGGGCTCTGGGGCTGGCAGCATCCCCAGCATCCCTCCCGCTTCCCTGCGCAGGCAGAGGGGGATGGGATGCACTGGAAAGATGGCTGCTCCGCAGCGACCGGCAGCGTTGGCGCAAGCACGGCAGGGCTGGGAGAGCAGCCAGGCCCCGGTGGGTGCTGCTGGGACGAGGGTCCGGAGGGCACACCAGGATCAGTCCTCTTCCCCCACCCCCTCGCAGGGAGCTGGGGGTCTCCTAGACCTCTGCTAGGCGCTGCACCAGGCACAGCACCCAGCAGGGATAGGTGGCACTGGGAAGCCACCCCCCCGGATGGGGAACCCCTCAACCTGTACATTGGGACTGGCCTGTACCCCAACACTGCCTGACCATAAACCCTCTCTCTGCCCCCTGTCCAGAGCTACAAGCGGGCTGAAACCGGGGGGGGGCCCTGCAGCCCCCCCAAAGACCCCTGTGACCTACCTATCCTTTGGGGCACAGCACAGCCCCCAGGGACCAACTTGCTCCTCATGCCAACGCCACGGGCCATGGTGACCCATTCTGACCCCCAGAATCGCCCTCATGACCCCCTCACTGTTCCCCCCACAGAGCCCCATAGCCAAAGGAGTGACACCAGGCTGCCACCGTGACAGGGCAAGAGGCATGAGCCTGTCCTTGCTCCCCCTCCCCTCCGAGAAATAAACACCCCCAATCCCGGTGGGCATCAGCCCTGGCTGTGGGGCCGGGTGGAGGCAGCCCCTTGGCGACTCCTCCTGCCATACCACAGAGGTGAGCTCAGCCGCGGAGCTGAGGCGGGCTGAGCCCGCGGCGTGGGAGCAGCGAGCCGCCCCCGCGCACGGCCTGCCGGCGTCACCGCGCTGGCACGCCACGGGACGGTGACTGATGCACGTGCTATGCCACCTTCCCTCTGTGCTATGCCACCTTCCCTCCGTGCTATGCCACCTTCCCTCCAGACTCAGCTGCCCTGTGCTGCCCCGAAACCCTCACCAGCCTGCCCAGTGAAGGCGATGCTGCGGGGTCCCCAAGATGTGTGGGAACAATCCCTGTTCCCACAGCCCTGGGCATGGATTTGGGTCACACCCCCACATCACATCAGGTCCTGTCCAGGCTCAACTGACATCAAAACGATTAGGTCTCCTATAAGGGGACGAATGGCATCATGCCATCCACCCCTGACTCACCTGCCAACACTTCCCACCCCAGGGGGTGGTCCCACCTCAATGACAACCGCTGGATGGGACGCACTGTCCTCTGCAGTCCAGGGCAGCGGCACTCACACTGACCACAGGGTGTCCCTACCCTCTGTGAGAACATCGGAGCTCCCCAGCCCTCTGGGACACCACACTTGGCCCCGCATCCCTGGGCCCGGTGCCACAGCATCTCCCATGCCCACCACCTGGCACGAAGGACCCCGGAAGTGGCAGGTTCCCAAAACAAGCTCCCAGAGGGGGATAGCGTCCCTCACTCACCTCTGTCACATCACCCCGCTCACTGTCACAGCCCGCCTGCCACCTTCCTGCCACCTTCCTGGCAGTCGTGTCACCTGGAAGTGATCTCACTGGCTGCGGCAGCAGCAGGGCGGCCGCGCCGGCACCCCGGGGCTGGCTCGTTCAGCCCTGGCGGGGCCCCGAGGGCGGCCCCAAATTGTGGTGACACACTCCCCAGCCCGGCTGCCATGGCACAGGTACACACATACCCATGCGTACAAATGCACCGCGCTCCCGGCAGAGACAGGGCTGCCGGCTGCATCCTGCCTGCCTGCGGGATGCTACTGCCACCCAGCTGCCCGGGAACAGTCCCCAGCCCCTCGCTGGATTGTGCCACCCCACATACCCCCATACCGGTGGGTGTTTTGCCTCCCTCGGTGCTGGCATCTGATTCTGCTTGCTTGGCCGGATGGGGCAAGCAGGAGGTCCCGGGGGGCCAGCATGGAGGGCTGGTGACCCCCGTGGCGGGGGTGGCCGTGGAGGCCGAGGTGCCAGGCTCCCCCTCGCTGCCATCTCTGGGCTGTCAGAGCCTGGCCCTGTGGACTGATCCTGCCCCCCAGCACAGAGCATCCCCTGCCCTGAGCCCGTCTGCAGCAGT